ACAGTTAACTTGTTTTTTGTTCATAAGGCACAACATGTTTTTGTAAAAAACACCTTCCAACCGCATTTCCAAACGCTGTGTGGCTCCTTCACCAGCTTTGGAACCACTTGCGACACAAAGCGAGTTCACTCTCGGCCACCAGAGCTCCCGTCTGTCTCAGGAGATGGCCCTCGCAGCCGGGGAAGATGCCGCTCTATGTGTCTTGGCACACGTGCAGCGCCCCCCCCCCCATGGTCCCCTTTTCACGAGCGAGCGAAGCACAAGGGAATTCCTCCAAAAACATGGAAGGGTTGTGAAGCTTGGTGAACCGGTGCTTCGCATTTGGCATCTGGGGGGATATCCAGATGTCTTCATCTTCCGAAACCACAAGCCATTCAGAAGCTTCCCTCACCAGTTCCACGCGAAACTCGCATCGTGTCGCGCTTCGCCGCTTCGCCCCGGACGGGACGACCTGGGTTCGGGGTCAAACTGGGGTTGTCATCTGGGTCCAACAGGCATACGTTGAGACGACCAGATTTTTATGTAGGGGTACAGTGAACAGTATATTCAGCTGCATCTCAATTCCAGGCCATGTATACATCTAAACATGCATTGTTACTATCGATGAAGCCGCCGAGGCGCCTCGCGACCTGCACTTGCTAGCGTCGTTTTAGCTCTTTGAGTTACTTTTGCTTATAATATAATTGAAAAACAACCTGCCTTCCGAGAACATCAATGCAGACCCTCCGGAGGTTTGGTCCCAAGCGTTCCAGATGTTTTGTTCTTGAAGATTGGGGTACATGCCAAGGGCGAAGGATTCAGACAAACATTGGAACACTGATGTTCCCAGTGCCTGGTTGAGAAAGATAGAAGGAGGTCGCTCGTGTTACACGAACATGATGTCCTGATTGATGTGGGTTTGGCAATATAGAGGCCCCCATCATCCAGGGGCGGGTCTCAGGGCCGGGCGTCCGGGTGGGGGGGGTCTCCATGTCTTCAAGAACCACACCAGGACCGTCTTCATCACACGGAAGGGTGACTGAGCAGAGTGGATTCTGAGGTGCAACGAGCCTTTGTGGTGAAGATGTTCGGAGCACTGGCCCTGCAGATCCTCACCTGCCTCGCCTTGATGCTTGGGTTTTTCCGGCCCTGGTCCTCCCAGCCCCGGACGTGGAGTCGTTCGGCCCCAGTAAACGAAGAGGAGTGTCATTCTTGTTTTTTCCGGCGGCGGATGTCCAATCAAAGCAATGAAGCCTAGCAAAAGGTCCAATGAAAGGCAGACCAACTACAGTATATCCAACTATCCGTTGCACACACGTCCTTTTGTTCTCCCCATGTCCGAGGAACCATCGAACCCTATTGACCAAGAGTTGGAATCAGAGAACCTTTGACGGACCAGGTCCAGTTCAAGCAGTTGGAATCATTTTGGTATTTCATTCGTTTTTTTAAGAGCCTTGGACACCAGAATGATTTCTAGTTTGTTGGTCGGCTATGGAAAGCAGTGGCATCGTGACACATGTGCTCTAAATGGTGTGATGCTGTGACCCGTGTTCAATTCGTAGCTCCAATGTCTCCCGAGGCCAGACAGCTTTTGGACCTTACATCGCATTTTGAGAGTCGAGCCTTTCCCACCGGTGCCATCCAACCACAAGCGGATTTCAAGACTGGTTTCACCAGGGGATGTTCACAAGCCCCAACAGAGGTGAAGTGAGAAAAGGGAAAACCATGGGGGAAAAACACATCCACCACCGGAGTTTGGACGGCACACATATATACAGTGAAAAGAGCTCGCGCCGCATGGCGACAGATCGCGCGCCAAAACCGACCCTTGTCACCTGAGGATGCTCCCGATTCATAGGCGGTGATGGGGCGGTGGGGGTCGGCCAGAGAGGAACCCACCAGGAGCAAGCAGAGTGAGAAGACGAGCGCACGAGCGGATGCGATCGAACGCGCAGGTGAAGCCGATTCGTTGCGCACCGAAATGTGATTCGTTGCGAATCCTCTTCTCATGATGACATGACAATATAGTGATAGGGGCAGGACTTTTGCACTTGCACCTTAAATATCTTAAATGGTTAATTCAATAATTTTACATGTCTTTCTGACATGGGAAAAAGGCCCAAGAAGGCCGGCTGGAACATGCAGATCTTGTTCATACTTCCTTTTCAAGTTGAGATTCGCAGGTGATAGCCATCGCCCTTGCGGATATGTATATGATGTATATGCCTATATGCATAAGCAACCTAATGTATATCTATATGCATGCGCGATCGGTGTTGTTGCGGTGCCCCCTTTTTGGGGCTAGTCACTAGTCGTGCCGAGTGTGGACCTTACACCGAAGCTCGGTGCCGATCGGATCGGGTGGAAGGCTCTGCGAGCAGTTCCACTTCATGGCCTACGTGCCCAACAACGGCACGTCGACCTCGGTCTTCGCGGATGTGACGCCTGGAACACGGGGAAGCCTTAAGGACAAAGGCCTTTTCCGAAGAGAGAGCTTGATGGTTGTTCTTTCTTTTTTGAAAGAAGGGGTGAATCCCCGACACCGGTGAAGTTGAAGATGTTTCTTTTTCTGCAGAGCAGATCCAAGGATGCCGATGAACCAGCCTGGCATCCTGTTGGGCTTTTACTATGGCCTGAGCTTCCTGTGTATGATGATGTTGGTGGTGCAGTGGTGGTTGCGCAACAGGACAGGGTTTTGAACGCAGGACGGGTCAAGGCTTGGTGGTTCAGGTTGAGTTCGAGGGACCAGATCCCACTGCCTTGACCTGAGTAGCATGAGTAGCGACAGGAAACAATGAGAGTGCTGTGGCCATGCACCTGGTGGACATCCGTTGCACACGGGACGTGCAAACTTTGTTTGAAACGGTTCTCTGGTGACTTGCAGGAACTTCTTGATGAAACACGAGAAATTTACGGAAGACACATACACACAAGAGCACACAAGCACAATCACAAACCAGACCCCATCAACCCAGAATTTTGCTTTGGCCCTAAACTGCTGTACATCCTCGTGGCCCTTCCTGTTTGCCAGACATCCGATCAACTACTTTTGCGCCTTCTTGTCGACTGTCCTGGTGGGTTGCTTCTTCGGCATCAGTGATGAGATGCTCCTTGCACCTTGGCCCCAACGGCACGGTAGGTCGACGAGGACAGGGGTGTCGTGTCCTGTCTCCTGTCGGACGATCCGACTCCTGGATGAGCAGAGGGGTGAAGAGAAAGGAAGGGTGGAGATGTGTCATTGAATGTCATTGAACATAAAACATAACAAACAACAATGGTCGTTGTTTCATAAGCTTTTTTTTTCTATGTAATATATAATTATACTGTATGTAATTGCATACACACATACCTAAGCAACATTGTCAGTCCATGCTGGTTGGAATCCTGCCTGTATTTCAGCAGGTTGTCCAAATATAATGGACATATCCCTCCTCGGCTCTTCAAAGCCTCAGAACGATTGAGATCATCGTGGCGGTTCCTGTACTAATCACGAAAGGTAGCTTGAGCTACCTGAGTTCTCCTTGCTTTAGCAAAAATGTATTACAATCAGGAGTTGGGATTGTGCATTGAGTTTCGTCCTGTAAGAGTTGATTCTGTTCGTCGGGGGGGGGGGGGCCTCCCCCCTAGATCAAATCCCCCCTGCGCCGGTTCACGCCGTCATGGACTTCTACCAGGGTTACTTGTGATTGCCTGCTACCTTTCGTTCACCCCCTCCTCTCTCAAGTACTCTATAGGGATTCGCCTGGATATGTACAGATTTTTAATCGATGGCCAGCAAGCAGGAAGGCAGTGATGGTCATCAAGCGCATCTCGGACATTCTGACATCATTCCTTTTTCTCAAGTTCCTACAGAAGAGCACAACGTTTCTGAAACTTTTACATGTTGTTCAACAGAACAGTTCAACACACCAAGTGATATCGGTTGTTTATCTGCAATGGTGATTAAATATGTTAAAGAAACGTCTTGATGTTGTTCTTTCTACCTGGTGATTGTTTTCGGTGTTGGTTTCCGACAAAAAAAGACGTCCTTTCCGGACCCCAGGTACAGATCCACACTCGTTTACTCAGCGTCGTTGTGACGACCATGTGCCTGGGCTGACCCAAGTCCAAAGAACGCCTGGAAGGGTTTTTCAGAGCTGAAGCAACTGGAGGAACTGGAGATCCTACTCCTGACTGTCGGCGAATGGAGCGGTGACTCCACTTCTGTGGCTTTCGCCACTTTCTCCTTTTGGATGGATGTCAGGAGTTGTTCGATCAAATGTTGATCTTTCCAGAAGGAATCCACGGGGTGACTGGTGTTTGTGATGGTGCGTGTGTATGTGTGTGTGTATGGGACTGGTAAAATGCAAAGGGAGATTCTATTGTATGTTGTACGTATGATCCAACATTAATCCTCCTGCAGAGGAGCACATGGACCCTGAAAACCACTGGCTAGTACTTGTAATTGAGAATAGTCGTTACAGGGGTCCATTTTCATGGCCTGTGTTACCCTAGTCGTTGAGCCATTCGGTTCTTGAATCCTTGTACCTCGTTTTGCTTGTTATATATAAAGAATTAGTAACACTATTAATTATAGTAATTATTAATGTATATTATGTATATATATATATATTATACAAGGACCTTCAAACAGGTGGTGTTAGGACCGTAAGAGGTGGTATTTGGCCACCTGTTGTCACCATGGAAACACATGTTGGAGGGTCCAAGTACAGGAATTCTATACTCGTTTCATCAAGCTGTTGATGGTCGCTAGGAGATGCTAGGAGACCAACCACGACGAGACAACATGTTCTTTTCCTTTCGAAGAAAAGAACCGACACCAACCTGCACCGTACAGCTGATGCGGGTTCGAGCCTCACTGATTTGCCCAGGCCGATTTGTGAGTTTGGGGCAACCAGGTCGCTACAGTTGTCGCAAATGGTTAGAAACAATGCCCAGAGACTTTTCAATGGAGCTCACGGTGCGTGTTCACCGTTTTGTTTTAAAATTCTAAGTCTACCTTTTACATCTTTTTACAGAAAACCTAAGAAAATGAAAACTATTTATGCATGTTGTATCTACCGTTGGTGCTTATAATGTTTGACCAAATATCCTAAGGCAAAGACAACCGGGCTTCTTCAAAGTCTCCTGCAACTGGGTCCATCAGCTCTTTGTCATCAGGACGATTTCCTGCATCTCCTGCTGGCTCTTTTTGCGCGATGGGTGGTGCAGGCACAGCTGGCACGGGAGAGAGTCAGCAGAGGATGCTTGAGAAATGTTCGAATACTCCATCGGGCAGCTCCTAGGGTGTTCGTCTTACCTTACCACCCTTCTTCTAGCACGTCTTCTAGAAGGTGTTCTAGGGTCTTCTCCTGACCATCACCAGAACTCCGGGCTGAACTCCTTCCAGGCTCAAATTGCATATGGTTGGGCTAACTCGATCAACCGCACCTTTCTTGGGGATTTGAGATAGAGAGTGGAATATATAGTCGGTTACTGCTTTTGTTTCTAGCTTTGACTATTGCTACTTAGGTCAACTCCCAACCAACCAGCCAGGCGAATGAATCCTTGTTCAAATATTTTTTTGACAAAGCACTCTCTTTAATGTGGCAGTTCATAGTCAACATACTTCAAGCGGGTTGTCTCGCCTATACGCCATGACAATTTAGTCTCACACACATGCACACAAAATACATATAATATCATATAATAGTCGTCAGTGTGTGTGTGTGTGTTGTACATTTAGGAGCATATCCTCAGGCAAATCTAAGCCGGCATCATGCCAGATGCTCAAGCGCTATGCAGGAAAGTTTTCTTTTTTGTTCAGACGTTTGCTTTTTCTCGGCCCGGCATTCTTCTTCTTCTTCTTCTTCTTCTTCTTCTTCTTCTTTGCTGCTGAGATTCACTGGCCCCACTATCCTTGCAATGCGCAGTGATGCATAACTAGCAATCCCCGCCTCTTGGTGAATCCACATTGAACCCTCCTGTTCCAAAACAAGTTGCTTTTCTCTTTGCTGGAGGTTACGTGACTTGCCGAAGGCCATCTGGGGACAATGTTAGAATTGTTGAAGGCTTTTCTTGGTTTCGGGGCAGCAGATCATGGTGACCCTCCCGGCAGTCATGCGATTCTCATTTCGCTAGCGAGAATCGCCCTGGTTGGCGTCAGGAATCTCACGGCAGCGACTTTGGTGAGCATCGGCCTTGGCTGGATTGCTAGCACCTTGCTGGTAATGCTGGTCTCGCAGGCGCACCATGTGCCACGACGTGTGTCGTGCGACGCAGACTACGCGAGACGTGTTCCACGAAGGAGGGCACGTACGCAAGTACAGTGCGGCACTGGCGTAAGCGTTCGTGGAAACGTTAGAGAGGAACAAGCCAGCACCTCTCAGGCTCGGGTTCGGGTCGGGTTCGCCACGCGGCGCCATGTGCCTCAAGCCACGCTACCAGTGGTAGTGATCGGTGATTCTTTGGGCTCGGAGATGATCAGGTGATCCGGTGTTCACTTTGGACCAAAAGTATCCAAAAGTCAAGCTGAAGGATCGCACCTGGGTGCAGAGAAACAGTTTTAGGATGTCTCAGGTTGAACATGTGTAAGAATCGCCTTCGAAGGGGAGCTCCATGAAGATCTGCAAGCAGATTTACAGTAGTAGATTTATAGAATTTAAGTATTAGTGTATACAGTAGTCAGTAGTCTATTGGAGACCCTTGAACAACAGAAGAAGTCAATGCGTGCATGGGCGCCCACAGTCCGCCGGACGCGTGTGCTCGACCCCTTCAGGTGCTTGACCCGGTGAACTCCATCGGGATGCTCGGTGTTTGGGGGGGTTCTGCTTGGTCCCGGTGTTGGAGGTCGGAACTTTGGGGGGCCGGGCGCGGGACCTGACGGGTTGCACGGCGGGTGGCGCAGAGCATTTCTTCAAGGTTCAAACCTGAAACAGCCCAAAGAAATCCGTGGCTGGCTGAGGATGGCAGGTACAGGTCTGAGGATGGCAGGTACAGGTCAGATTGATCAGGCCGTGTGCATTGGATCAGAGAACCAAATTGATTCTGTAAGGCTTGGGCTTGTAGAGCCTGGTTTGGGAGCCCGGTTTGGGTTCCGAGGAAGACTTGTACAGCAGCTTTGCTTTCAGCGTTTGTCCTGACCTTTCTGTTGGTGTCACTTGGTCGCACTCATGGCCTAAGCCCGCCCAAGCCCCGCCCAGCAGTCCGCGTGGCGCGGACCGGTGGCGACGTGGTCCCTGGTTTCGCCACCGACTCGGCACCGGCCAAAACAGTGCCGTGTGGATGTTCGGGATGTTTTAAGGTATATATTCAGGATGTTCGGGATGTTCCGGTTCCAGGGTGGAAGCTGTTGGCTGTTGGGTTCTGGGCGAAAGATGACAGACACCAGCGGTGGAAACGGGCTGAGGCATTCCTGGAACTCGCTGATGAACTGCAAGGTGGACGATCTGGTAGGTGCCTTGGTGGCAGGTCATTTTGGTTGAAAAGGGTTGAGTTTGCCGCCCTAAAACGGTACTAAATGGCACTAAGCTTTTTCGTTTGGGAGAGTCCATCATGTTTCAGCCTGGACGTGACGCACGCTATTGGAAGATGATGCGGCCTTGGCGTTTTTCTTGCCCTTGCAACTTAGTAGCGATGCCCTTGTTGCTAGTACTAGTAGCTTCAGACTACTGGTACCTCTTCACAACCCGACTTCAGATCGAAGCCACTCGCGTCAAACGCCGCCACCTCTGACGAAACAGCAGCGGCCCAGCGACGCTGTGAAACTCCAGCGCAGACAGTCTGCAGCGCTGAAAGCCAGGCATCATTGCGGTCATGGATGCAAGTTTGCTGGCAGTGGTGAGCTTGCCATTTTTATTCCTTCTCCTGGCCTTTTGTGCACCTTCCTCTGCCACTCGGACCACTCGGTTGGAATTGGTATAAATCCATTTGGAATCCGTTTCTTCTCGAGGCCGGCCTAGGCCAGAAAAGAGAGGTACTGTAGTTCGCACTCCTTGGCCGTTGTTTCTGGTGGGGAGATCTCATCTTTGCACCCAAGATGTGTCATTAATCCCCAACACGGAATCGTGGACTGGATCAGGGAGGTCTAGATCAGATAGGTGGTAGAAAATTCGGGTATTAATTGAATATGTTACTTCTGTGGTATGAATGATCCCGTTGGAACCCCCTCGTGACACTGGTCGTGACACTGGTCCAAGGATCTCGTCGAAGGTCCAAGGCTTCGTCAGGTTTTAGCAAAAATCCACAAGAGTTAGCTGAGATCGCTGGACTCTGGACCTTCCAAAGGGTGTCCAAATGGAAGACTATAACAAGAATATAACAAGTGCGGGTAGTAGCTCATCAGTGATCGTTGTTTGTTTAAGCTTCAGAATTCTGTTTATTCCAAGCACTTCATGTATTGTATGTACATTTTGCCTACCCCAAGTAAGATTGCATTCTGACCATAGGGACACGACCAGAGCGCAGGTGTTATGACCAGCGACATGACCATGCCATTCAGCATACTCCTGGCTCCCAAAGGATGTTACAGTCTTTATCCAAGTGATGTAGGCTACCTAGTCCAAACAAGTGACCGACGAGGGTGGTGAGTGGCGTTCGGAATGACGATTTCTGTCATCCCGCCAAGTAGCCAGCTGGAGCGGGTTTATAGTGGTCTATAATGCAGCCACTTGGATATCCCATGTCCCTGATTTGATTCCTCACCATTCCCAGCTGCCTGATCTCGGACACCGCGGCGGGGCCTGAGGCCATGCAAGTCCAGAATGGTGAGGCGAACGAGGCACAGAACCAGGTCTGAGGTCGGCATGCTTTGTGGAATGAGGACTCCTATCTATGGGCTTCTGAGAAGATTTCGAAGCCGTCTCAATTAAGCGCTTGTTGTTCTATCCGATTGCAAATCAGTCCAATTCTTTGGAAAAGGATGGTTGGACTTCAGATGAGGCGTAAGAAGAGTTTCCAAAGGCAGGTTCGGATGACCTTCTTTTGTCCGTGCCGGTGTGTAAATGTGTCATAGTCATTCATGGTCCCTTTCCGACTTGAATGTATATATATATACCATATTGATTCACAGATTCACAGTGTATCATATATGAGACCATCCATGTATGGAATTTATGACCCTACTGTAAGTAGCTATTCCATGGATGGTCAAGTTACATACACTCCCACTCACTAACATGGAAATGGACAATGGCCCGAGGGAAGACCATTTTCCACTACAAACAGGTGGTTTTCCACTTCCATGTTAGTGAGTCAGAGGGTACCTATGTTGGGTATCGATTCGGTGTTTACTAATGAATGCTCCCAGTCTTAGACTCCGTGTGTTCTACATCCACTGAGCGGGATAGCCAACAGACGATTCACGATCAGACCATGACCGTGACCGTGACCTGTCATTCAATGAGCTACATACCTGGACCATCCTGTTCGGGTGTCCTGTTTGAAGATCTCGGATAGTAGTGGGCTGGGGGGGCGTCGAACGCCAGGACACCCAGATGGTCAGATGGTCGGATGGTCCTGGTACGTTCGGATCGTCACTCCTTTACATCAACCCCCCCTGCAGAAGACCACATAGACTCGGAAAGCCCAGTGGTAGATGAGAATCGGGGCAAACCAGGGGTTGATAGACTCATTGTCCAGACGCCGAAACCGAAAACAGGAGCACATCATGAAACACATCTTTAGATCAGGATGACCCCACATCGGACTCCCCTGAATTGATGGTCGGCCGCAAAATCACTGCGATGTCCCATTCCAAGACGTGCACAGTGCACGAGCTTAATTTGCAAGCTGTAGGTGCGGTTGCTGGCAGCCAGTAACAGCAGCAGCATTGCTGGGGTCCTTTCCTTTGGCCAAGCAAGGTCCCACCACCATTGTCTTTTGAGAAGACTCTTGACTCTGGCGACACCATCGATGAATGTTGAGTACGCTGGAAGAGATCTGAAAAGAAATCAATACCTGAGAGTAGCACTGGGAGCTCCCTGGGGTGTCCTGTTTTGGTCATGTGTTTGGATGCCAAAAGTCGGTGCTAAGGAGTTTATATATATTTATATAAAATGGCTGCAACACTAGTTTTTGTGATGATAGATGTTAAAAGCAAAGTATGAAGCGGCACGCTAAAATCAAAACACAAGCTAGGCGCTAGCGTGGCGCTTGTGGCGCGCCTGTGCTTTTTTGAATTTTATTTTGATTGCTGGAAGCCATTTGCTCGGACCACATGTGTATATAATCTGTGATGTGCAGTTTCATAGGGCGCTAGCAGGAGCAAGGACACAACTTCAAATGGTTGGCATGTCGCACTATTCCTAGTGAGCTTGCTTTCTCCATTTTCACACCTTGTCTTTGCCACGGCTAAGCCAGGTAAATGTTCGAGACTTTTCGCGCTAGGCTCGCGCTAGCTCCGCGCTAGCAGAAATTGCTGAAATGTGTGCCCGGTAGTGCACGGCCCAAATGACAGACCCAATAGGAACCAAATGCGCCAACGCTCCTAGGCAAAGCATGAGCGGCACTTGACAAACGCCGAAGCCCACACGAGTCGGCAGAGCAAACAGCTCAAAGCAGCAGTACAGAGAGCAGCTCATCTAGCAGTGCCGTCGGCAGCTTTAGTCAGTTTAGGTACAAGAGTATGCGCTAGTGTATTTTGCTATGAAACGAACAAAGCCATACCATAAAGCAAGTCACCGTTAGTGTAGATTATATAGAAAACATGAAGCAGCACGCAAGGATTTCGGAATTCGCGCTGTTTTCGGGAGCAAGACTTTCGTCAACCAAACATGTTTCAAGATGTTAGGTTCAGAAAGGAAAACGCTCGATCGTGTCGCCCTGCGTCCGGCGACGCGGCGTGGGTCATTCAGTGTGATCCTGCGAAGTAAAGATTTAAAGCGTGGACGCGGTTTGATGCATCGGGTGACCTACAAGAAACGACTGGCCCCGAGACAGGCAGTACCAAGACTAGATGAGTAGACAGGTTCTCCCGAAATGTTGTTCCAATCATTTTGCAAGGGGTGCTGCGCTGGTGACAGATTCCGAGTTTGTGGCAGTCCAATGAGCACTTTGGGCACATGTTGCACACGTGTTGCCAAGACAATTCAGTGAACCTTGTAAAAAATGTTCCACTTCTTGTGAAGTAGCTGTAAGATGTGCATGGATGCGGAAATTTGTATATTTCAGAGCGGTGGCTTGGCATGGTTTGGTTGACTTGCGTTGTCTCCTGAACTTTGTCTATGTGTGGAGAACACGTACTTGTAGGTCCATCACATCCACATTGCAGGGAAGGTGAGCAGTTCAGGTTGAAGGGAGGTGATTCGTCCACTCCGGCCACTGGGGGTGAGCAGGGGATGTTCTTTTCACGGTCGTTTCCCGGGTCACCTGATCCTGGTGAGCTGGGCATTGAGATCTAGTCTACAGCTCAAGCGTCCCGGTTTCAGTCTCGCGAGCCGAATGACATGATGGATGAATGAGGGTCGATGTGTGATTCTTGGCTCGAAAAGAAGCCCCAAGAATGCAGACATCTCCGCTCAATTGCAGAATTGGAATACCCGGTCCAGGTTTTGCACCCGTGTTGGTCCAGGTTTTGGCACCGTTCTGGCACCGTCATCGCGATGAAAATCCGAGACTGCCCGGTTTGGGGTTTTCAAGTCGGCTCTTCCACCCATGGTTGGTGAATGATTGGGTCTGAGGCATGGACCCTTGGCATGATTTATTTGGGTTTGGCCAGAAAGTCATGGACACTTCAATTTCCAGTGGTACATCACTCAAATAATCTCAAATCTGGCTACATCCATTTATAGCCAGTGCCTCTAAGAGTGGGGCAGCTGGTGACCAATTCGCCGTCTTGTGCCAAGAAAAGACACCATGTAGGTCAACCGCTCGGTCTCCTGCTGCCATGACCCACAGCAATGAGCAATGATTAATGTTGTACAGAGCGGTTGTGAATTTCAGGAATTGGGTTAAAACCTGCAAAGGCAATAGCCCCCCCCTCAAAAGCATTCAAAAGCGATATATACAGTACACAGTATTAGCTGAATCGTGTCCTCTATTTGGCAGTACGTGTTGGCAGACGCTCAACTTATCTTTCGTGGTTGAACTGGACCCTCGTCTCCAGAGTTCAGATGCTTTTCAGAAAATCCTGGTTATACTGATGATTCGCTGATTATTCGCGGGACGCAGCAATTATCTTAAGTTCGGTTGAATTCCCGTACTGCAATGACCCGCAAGAGACCAGACTTGGTCTTCCCGAAGACAAGTGAACCAATTTCAAACCTTCCAAGAGAGGTTGAACAGCCTATCGATGCCTATCCCATATGTACCTCTTGGTTGAAACTCAATATGGACGTTCGCCCCGCCACATCCGCAGCGCTTGGCCCCGGTGGAACCGCCCGGTTGCCGGGAGCGGGCGCCCGAGCGCTTAAAGGGAGCCGCCAGGTGCTCGGGAGCCGCCAGTCGTCGTCACAGCGGAAGGAGGGGAAAAGCCTCCGGTAAAAGTAGAAGGGCTATGTTCTGGTGGAGTCAAATCCTCCTGGGCTAGAAAACGCACCAATCCACTAGAACATCGCAGGGCCATGTGTCCATTTCCATCCATTTCCATTGACCGTGGGTGTTGCAAGTGAAAACAAAAGGAAGCTCCCTCTCAGAAGAACAGCACGAGCTTCCGTGTATAGATCCCGTGAGGATTTTCTTGGGCCCTTTTGGGCTGTGGTCGCACTTACTGTGCAGGAGGTGTCAATCATTTGTGGAACATGGATGGGCATAGCTGCTAGCCACTTTGTAGACAACTGTCAGAGAACCAAACAGGGTGCGTTTCACTGCC